AGGGAAGGGGGAGAAATTGCTATAAGTCACCTAAAATGAGGTTGTCTGTGGTGCTGAGGTATTAATTGGGTGTCCATATTAAATGCAAAAGGAGCCCCATCGTGAAAGGAAAGTGGATGAGTGACTCTCTTGGCTGCTATTGACCTATCAGAAGAAGACAGTGCCCTTTTCCTTTGCTTTTATCTATTACAGTTTTCCCTATTGCGTGTCAAGTTGATGTATTATAAAAAATTCATTTGGTGACCTTTCACCCCCTTAGCAGATTAAACAATTTCACTTCGATGGCATCATTAACAGGACCCTGCATTTAATGATGATTTCTCTAAAAGGCCACGGAGATTCGATTTTAAGCTAACAGATTTATTGCACTATTATAACATATCGTAAAAAACTGTACTACCTACGGTCAGGTTTTAGGATAGAAACTGCTTAAGAGTTTATGTGGAGCTTAAAGTGGTATTACCTTGGGATATGCTGCAGCAGCAAGTCTCTGACCTCCAGTGGGATGCTGTTTACATTTAATAAGAGACGTCCGCTCACAATAAACTTTAAAGTGTGTCAGGGACGGGCCTTTCAGCGGGTGTTCAGGCAGTTGATTCCCATTGCCGTCATCTCTAGACATCGATGTACTTATGTCAGAATCTTTGATGGGGTCATTCAGTTTCTTTAACCCAGATTGCTTGCCTGCATTTCCACCCTCATCAGAAAGCATTTATGGAATAGGTTAGGGGAGAAATAGGATCTGGTAACAATGCCACAATTTCCTAATAATATGGGACCAATAGAAGGATAGAACTAATAGCATGGATTTTTAAAATCTGGTTTAAATTGTTCCCTTTAAAAAAGGAAAGGACACTTAGTCACTCAGGCTAAGCAAACTAATAAATGATGATTGTGCTAGTGTGTGTGGAATTCTCCGGGAATGATTCCAGCATAAAAGACAGGGCCTTAGCTGGTAGGTGACCAAAGGGGGTTGTTTGGACCACATATGCTCACTTTGCATGCATGCATTTCCAAGGATTCCCAGGGGAGAGGGAAATTGCTTTCTACAGAAACTTTATATTTCGTGATCCATTGTATTTGCTTTTTCACTATTTTCTCTTTTAGGGTTAACCTTAACCTTTACCTGACATGCACCTTCCATGATAAATAAATACTTTATCCTTTCCTTCTCACATGAGGCAGGGGAAGAGGTTGGGGAATAGAAGACTTTACTCACAAACATTTAACCAAGGGGAGGGAAGACTAGGATGCTTTTTTTTTTTTTTTTTTTAGTTTTTAAATAAAAGCCTTGGTAGACCTGGCCTAACTATTTTGAGGGTAAACTCTCTAAGGGATGCTGTATGTTAGGGTAATGTACAAGGGTACTTCAAAAAGTTCATGGAAAGATTTGTATTGCCTTTTAATTCCATTCTTCCATGAACTTTTTGAAGTAACCTCATGTACAATATAGGATGTCTGTATATCTCCATTTAATTGCCAAATATCTATTGCATGCCTATGATGTGTCATGCACAATAGGCTTAATGGAATAATAGGTGTGTAATGTTATTTTAATAAAGCTAGCTCCATCATCAAAAATACTGTAACACAGGGTAAAAGATGTTTTGAGGTATCATAAGTTATGTAATTATTTTATATGTATTCCATTTCCTTACTAAGTCACATCAGCAATTAATACGTTTGAACGAGGTGAAAAGCAGTATAGCTCATTGGTTATCCACTCTAGACCTTGGTCAACACTTACTATTTCTAAGACCTTTGGCAAATTACTTAGGCCTTTTGGGACTCAGTTTCTTTATATATAAATAAGAATACCTACCTCAGAGTGTGACTTTAAAAATGCAATGAGTTTATACATGAAAAGTTTATAATAGTACTTAGTACACAGTAAATGCTCAGTAAGTATCAACTGTAGTGTATTATTCTCCCTATATGCTTCGTGCAATTAAAATAAATTAATTGATTAATGACACAGTTATTGAAATTATTTAGTGCAAGCACACCTGGAGAATATAAATATGAGAGGGTTGTTGTGGAGACTAAATGAACTGTGTAAAATAGTGGTGTGCTGGAGTTTGCACTCAGCATCTCTTCCCAACTCCATTCAGTGATGTTATCTTGGAATCCTGGGATCACCTGGGGCAGGAATATTCAAACCATGGAAATTGGAACACACTATAGAACAGTGAACTTTTTAAAAGATATGGCTTGATAGCTTCCTACTGAATATGTCCCACCCTCTAAGTAATTTAGTGTGATAAATTCCTTCACTGAGGCTTTTTTTTTTGGCTTATCTTAATAGTGATAAAAATATAAGTTTATAATTTGTACTTCTCCTCTCCTCCCAGTCCATTTTCAATATGGCTAAGTAAACATATCACATAAATATCTAATTATTGTTTGGTATAAAGTCATGTTCACTACACAATATATTATTAAGTTTCTAGAAACAAGGGTGAATGAGTTTGGATGTGTTGTCCCCACCAAAACTCATGTGGAAATCTGATCCCCAATGTGGCAGTGTTGGAAACTGATTGAGTCATGGGGGCGGATCCCTCATGAATGGATTAATGCTCTCCCTGGGGGAGGGGATTAATGAGTGAGTTCTCATTCTATTAGTTCCCACGAGAGCTTGTTGTTTATGAGTGAGTTCTCATTCTATTAGTTCCCACGAGAGCTTGTTGTTTAAAAGACCTTGGCACCTCCTCTCTCTTGCTTTCTCTCACCAAATAATCTGCTTGTACCCATTGGCTGCCTTCCACTTTCTGCCATGAGTAGAAGCAGCCTGAGGCCCGTGCTAGATGCAGCTGTCCCAGAATCGTAAGCCAAATAAACATCTCTTCTTCATAAATTACCCAGTCTCAGGTATTCTGTTACAGCAACACAAAATGGACTAATACAAAGGGCATATACAAATATTTTTGCTGGTTATAATGTATTATGGAAAATAGCTACTGTGTGATACTTGTAATCCTGTTGATCTAGTTGTCTTTGTATCTGCCAGAAATACAAGCAATTTTCAAACTGGGAACTTGATATACATTCGGCCCTATGCTCTTTCAGTCCTAGTCCAGCCTTCGGATGGAGAAGTGGGAAAAGAGCTTCCGGTGCAACCACAACTCGTTTTTCTGGACCAGCAGAATCAAAGAGTGGAGTCTTTGGGCCCCCCCTCAGAGCCTTGGACTGTTTTAGCTTCCCTGGAAGGGACATCAGATTCAGTGCTAAAAGGTTCGAGGCTTTGGGGCCGACACAGAGGAGGACTCCTGAGAGCGCTCAAGCCCGGCTGNTGTTTTTTTTTTTTTTTTTTTTAGTTTTTAAATAAAAGCCTTGGTAGACCTGGCCTAACTATTTTGAGGGTAAACTCTCTAAGGGATGCTGTATGTTAGGGTAATGTACAAGGGTACTTCAAAAAGTTCATGGAAAGATTTGTATTGCCTTTTAATTCCATTCTTCCATGAACTTTTTGAAGTAACCTCATGTACAATATAGGATGTCTGTATATCTCCATTTAATTGCCAAATATCTATTGCATGCCTATGATGTGTCATGCACAATAGGCTTAATGGAATAATAGGTGTGTAATGTTATTTTAATAAAGCTAGCTCCATCATCAAAAATACTGTAACACAGGGTAAAAGATGTTTTGAGGTATCATAAGTTATGTAATTATTTTATATGTATTCCATTTCCTTACTAAGTCACATCAGCAATTAATACGTTTGAACGAGGTGAAAAGCAGTATAGCTCATTGGTTATCCACTCTAGACCTTGGTCAACACTTACTATTTCTAAGACCTTTGGCAAATTACTTAGGCCTTTTGGGACTCAGTTTCTTTATATATAAATAAGAATACCTACCTCAGAGTGTGACTTTAAAAATGCAATGAGTTTATACATGAAAAGTTTATAATAGTACTTAGTACACAGTAAATGCTCAGTAAGTATCAACTGTAGTGTATTATTCTCCCTATATGCTTCGTGCAATTAAAATAAATTAATTGATTAATGACACAGTTATTGAAATTATTTAGTGCAAGCACACCTGGAGAATATAAATATGAGAGGGTTGTTGTGGAGACTAAATGAACTGTGTAAAATAGTGGTGTGCTGGAGTTTGCACTCAGCATCTCTTCCCAACTCCATTCAGTGATGTTATCTTGGAATCCTGGGATCACCTGGGGCAGGAATATTCAAACCATGGAAATTGGAACACACTATAGAACAGTGAACTTTTTAAAAGATATGGCTTGATAGCTTCCTACTGAATATGTCCCACCCTCTAAGTAATTTAGTGTGATAAATTCCTTCACTGAGGCTTTTTTTTTTGGCTTATCTTAATAGTGATAAAAATATAAGTTTATAATTTGTACTTCTCCTCTCCTCCCAGTCCATTTTCAATATGGCTAAGTAAACATATCACATAAATATCTAATTATTGTTTGGTATAAAGTCATGTTCACTACACAATATATTATTAAGTTTCTAGAAACAAGGGTGAATGAGTTTGGATGTGTTGTCCCCACCAAAACTCATGTGGAAATCTGATCCCCAATGTGGCAGTGTTGGAAACTGATTGAGTCATGGGGGCGGATCCCTCATGAATGGATTAATGCTCTCCCTGGGGGAGGGGATTAATGAGTGAGTTCTCATTCTATTAGTTCCCACGAGAGCTTGTTGTTTAAAAGACCTTGGCACCTCCTCTCTCTTGCTTTCTCTCACCAAATAATCTGCTTGTACCCATTGGCTGCCTTCCACTTTCTGCCATGAGTAGAAGCAGCCTGAGGCCCGTGCTAGATGCAGCTGTCCCAGAATCGTAAGCCAAATAAACATCTCTTCTTCATAAATTACCCAGTCTCAGGTATTCTGTTACAGCAACACAAAATGGACTAATACAAAGGGCATATACAAATATTTTTGCTGGTTATAATGTATTATGGAAAATAGCTACTGTGTGATACTTGTAATCCTGTTGATCTAGTTGTCTTTGTATCTGCCAGAAATACAAGCAATTTTCAAACTGGGAACTTGATATACATTCGGCCCTATGCTCTTTCAGTCCTAGTCCAGCCTTCGGATGGAGAAGTGGGAAAAGAGCTTCCGGTGCAACCACAACTCGTTTTTCTGGACCAGCAGGTAACTTTTCATAGGAACAATCTTTCTTTAGAGCTGGGTAGCATGCAGCATTCAGCACATGTTTTAGATTTTGTCATGCTTGATACACATTTAGAGTGCCCGTTGTGTGAAATTTGCTGCACTTAGAAGTTCTCAACTACTTTTGTCATTTTCTGTCCACTTTAGTTTGCCATCCTTGCACTTTCTGTGAATGTTCAGAAATTGACCAAGGGTAAAAATCAAATTCTGATACTTTTTCTCCCCAAGCAAATTCTTTAAGTACATCTCTCATATCTTCTCTGAAATCTAGCTTTTTCAAAACAAAGTATATCTATATCTGAAGAAGTCTTTTCTTATGCTAATAAAGGAATTTATGATGTCACACATATATTACAGTTTTATGTTATAATGAATTATCTATCTCTCTTATATGTGGTTAAGTAAATCATCAATAGGAGGCTACTGTGCTTAATTCTAATTTCATCTTTGTGTCCTCTGATTCTATTTTATCTTGCCTATATTTACAAAATCCATGGGAAAAAAAGTAATTTATGATCAGATAGAAATCAGATTTCTATTCTTTCCAAATGCATCCCCTGGCATGTTTGCAGAGAAGTCTGTGGCACTGAAGGCCACACTTGGAACCTGTACACTTTGATCTAGTCTGACTCTCACCCAACTATCTCCTGCATTCTTAAGACTCTTAACCTTTCCTTTCTCATTAACCTTCAACACAATACCACTCTCCTCTTCTATAAACCTGACTTTCCATTCTTCTCTTCACTGCCCTGCCCCAAGTTTTCCTGCAATAATCTCCCTTCTCTTCTTTCAATAAGCTAACGTTGATACATTCTTAACATTAGAAAGAAAACATTTTTATCATTTTCCTTCTTTAGTTTATTTCTACTGAATGTGCTTTGTGAAAGTTTGCCTGAATCCCATTTTCTTTTTTTCTTAGATAACGTCACAAAATTCTCTTCTGAATCCTATTTTTTCTTTTCACTCCCCAACCCTTCCATTTCCAGAATCAAAGAGTGGAGTCTTTGGGCCCCCCCTCAGAGCCTTGGACTGTTTTAGCTTCCCTGGAAGGGACATCAGATTCAGTGCTAAAAGGTAGGTATCTGTGATTTTCAGATTACTACTACTACTACTATTACTGCTTTAAGTGCACAGAAAATGTTTGCTCCCATCAGGAATTCATAGCAAAGTTGGTAATACTCAATTTCTTTGGTAATTTGGAAGAAATATTCTTCATCCCCAGTCTACAGTACCAGCATCTGTGATAAGGAAGATTAGGCTGGCCATAAACACTTAAGGCTCCACCTTCTCCTTTTCCTTACCTTGCATGATGAAGGAGCATTTTCATCACACCTGTGTCCTCAATATGGTTATAAGGAAAAGGGCACCGAACGTTTGGCTTGGTCTCAAATCTGAGTTTTTCTACAGATTACTCAATGCCGCTATGCCACAGACTTGTTTGCTACAGTATCGTGGACTGGCCCAGGGAGCAGTTCACCAGGTATAATGTGGTTTCTGTAGGGAAACAGAAAAACTTATTCTCAATGTTATGAAGAATAAATGCATTGATAAATGCAAAAGCACCTGAAAGAGAGCTTTATCTTCAGAATTAATTTTCCTTTCTCTACCTTTTTCTGCACCCCCCTCTTACCTTCCTATTCAATCTCAGCACCACCGCTAGCTCCATCTACGTTCCTTGGAGCTTGTGTGTTTGAAAATCAGAATGGGTTTTATTTTAAATGCAGATTTCTAAGCCTTAGTGTGAGATAGCTTGATTACATATTCTGCAGAGAAGCCCAGGAATATACATTTTAGGACCTGGCCTAAAGAGAAACAACCAGGTATAACATGTTTTCTTATGGGAAAAATAGTTTATAAGTTCTAAGTTTCTGACTATCTGACCCACAAAACAAACAAACAAACAAAAACTCTTGGAATATAATCTACTCAAAGATGTAAGAAGGTGCTTGCAGGTGTCCCCTAGTGAGTTATCACAGATTAGGAATTCAGAATCCCCAAGGATTCGTTCTAGCCACTGCTTTGTCCTGTGTTTGTTTTGAAGCTTATGAAGTGCACATGCTTTTATTATGAAATTGTTCAGTAATTATGCCCTTATGTTTTAAAACAATACAAGATGTGATCCACAGAAAATATTTTAAGGAGAATGTGCTTGAGAAACAGAAAGCAGGCAAAGAAGCCTCATGACTAAGGGAAATAAGGGCAGGAGATGAAGTCAGAGAGGTTGTCTAGAGCCAGACAACAGAGGGCTTTGGAGATCATGCGAGCAGTTTGGACTGTGCTCTCAGTGAGATGCAAAGCCATTGTATTACATGTTTAGAAGCCCGCTCTGCTCTGTGAAGGGTAGATTGGAGAACGACAAGAGTGAACCTACTAAGCCAGTTGGGAGGTGATTGCAGGAAGCTAGGCAAGAGATGATGGCGAAGATCACACATGCACTGATTCAGAGTATCTTTTAGGAGAATTGACAGAATCTACCATAAGTAAAGGAAACAAGGACTTGAGAATAACTTATAAGTTTTGACCTTGTTATATTGTGTGGATATTGGTGTTATTTACTGAAATGGGGAAGAAGGCTGGAGGAGGAGCCAAAAGCAAGAGTTTTGCTGAGAATGACAAAATGTATGACCTGGCTGCTGGACCAAATTAAGACAAAGGTCTTTTTGTATGAGTGGTCTAAGTTTTAACACAACAGGAACCAGAGGTTCTGGTTTACAACTGTTATAGTTTGAGTTCCAGAGAGTTCAAAGGGCTGCTTGTACTCTTACCAGCCCCCTCAAACCTACCCCACACATTATTAATCATTCAGGAGGTGAGTGGCATCTCTAACACACAGATCTTGCCTGAGGGCCTCAAATTCTTCATGCATGGGGGTTTCCTCTCTGCACAAGAGGCCTCATGATCATCATAGCACTCTGGGATCCTTCTTCTGGTTACGGCTAGGATTGTGCATTTCCTTCTCACTTGAGGGAGTCCCAATCACTCATAATCACAGTTCAATTTTGGGGCTTCACCCTGAGGTTAAGAGATATTCATTTTATCTCAACCTGATATAATTAAGGATAGGATGGTCCAGTGGGACATCGTAAAATCATCTCCTATATTTGGATAGTGGGTTAGAGATTGTAACAGTCTGAAGAAGTGGATCTGTTAAATCCCTTTAATTCCTCTAACTAGCTTCAATGAGAAAATGAATAAAGTGTCCCAAGAATTTAAACCGATTAAAACTATTTTAAAGATAGGTTATGGAAAATATTCTCAGAAGGGAAAACGTTCACCCCCTTCCTCACAACTTCTATCCCAAAAAGCCCTCCTCAAACATCCTTACAGGGTCTAATATAAAGAAATACAGGTAATGGGGTTGTCTTGTCTGCTTGAATTCAGAATTTTTGAATAATTCTGACCAAGAGCTAGAACCTGAGCAAATCTCTGCACTAAACATCGTATTGCTGTTTTAGATTAGATATGCTTTCTAAATATTAGCTCACTTGTGGTTTGAAAATAATGTTTCCAAATATGCATGTGAAATAAACAGATATGTGTCGGTGTTGGTAAAAAGAAAAAAAGAAATAATAGTTATCTGTTTTAAGTACAATCATCTATTTTATTACCATCATATTTGCATATCATAATAGGGGGAATAGGTAGGGAATCACTTTAACTTTGGCAAATTCTTCTTTCCAGAAATATGTTTTTAAGCACTGGCTATTTATACCACACTACTGCTGTAATGGTAATGACAGGCCCTTTGGAATTTGTTAGTAACATGTTGAAAGGAGGTTTTATAACAATAAATCACTGAAAATTTTATATTGCTATCGTGTGCATGTACCTCTTTATAATTGGTCAAATATCCCCATCCTTATACAAATTTGAGGATGCATTGATAACTCTTTAAAAATTCAGTTTATCAGATTTCTTATGCACTTCATGAGTCAGTTAGGGCATTTCTGTTGGTTTTCTGTTGTCTGTAATGTTTTTTTCCAGAATCGGAAATGACTCATCTACCAATTCATACATCAACCTATCTGCAAAATCACTGGTTTCCAAGAATAAGCCATGCCTTTACAGTTACTTCTTGCATTATGCGGGCTACAAGAGTTTGAGCTCATTCACATGGCTCTTGTAAAATATATGAAATGCTAAAATAGATAGAAATAAATCAATCATAGAAGTGAAAATTTTGCCACTTCTAATTACATTTACTTTTGGTCTAAAACTGTTCTTGTCATGGTACACAATACCTATCTCTCCTGAGGATATTTTTCTTTTATTCTTGCTATTTGTCTCTAAAAAAAAGAAAGATACAAAGTTTCTAAGTTAAGTAATTCTTGTTTGACATTGTTTTTAATGAATTAATTTCAGATCTCAGGGTTTTTGTTTTAATGTTACCATTTTATTTAGCTTATACATTTTGTTTCCTGCAAAGCTACATCTCATCAATTCCAGAAAACAGAACTATCCCCTTTTAATAACTCTCTTGAGGAGGCAATCGACATCTCATGATTAAACATTTCATAGCTTCAAAACCCTTACTGTTTAAAGCTCGTTTCATCTTGCTGTTTTCTTATTAGAGCTATAAATTTTCCTGCTCTCTTTTCAAGTTGACTTTTAACTATTTGGACTATAAATTCCCTACTCTATCTACTTACTTATTAAGAAATCAAATGTTTTCAGCCTGACCACAAAAGTAATTTTCTCCCAAGCCCTCCTCAGCATCCTCTCCAATTTCACTTTGTGAAATTTACTTTTTAAAGGCCCAGGTAATGCTGCATATTTGTGAGAATATCCTCATAGACTTTCCAGACTTCCACTTATATAATCTATGTTTTGCTTACTTAGGTGAAAGTAACACCTGTATTGCTGAGATATTTTTGCTCTTGGTCATTTTTTTAACCTAAGGAGTTAAGTCTGAAACCCCTTCGGTTTAAAATCCCAAGGAAAGAGAGCAGCCTAAAATGATGGTTGTGCACATTTGCAGAAGCAAGACACATCATTAAGAAAGTAAGGTGATCAAGCAAAGCTATACAAGATTGGCCAATGTGAAAGCAAAACGTTCAAAAGCGCATTTTGAATGGCCTCTTTTGATGCTGTCATTCTGTGCATTCTTCAATGCCATTTTGCTGCCGTTGGTGGTCTGGTATAGAGAATGCTTACTATATAACAGCAACTCACATTCTGATCTTAAAATAATACAGCAGCATCAGAAATAGTAATTTTCAGCTTTTTTCATGTTTTGGTAATATTTACGACAGATACTCTCACCTGACTGCTGAAACTCATCTCCACCATCGTCTGCTCCATACGTGACCCATATTCTATACCTTACCCACACTCCATACCTTATCCTCACTCCACAACTCATCCCTTACCTAGGACCTTATTTATATGCCATGCCTTCCCCATATTACATATTCATACTTTATACCCTACCATAGTCGTTATCTTACCCACCCTCCATATTTCATTCGCAGTCCACACCTTACTTTATACTTTGCCATACTTGATACATTACCCATCCCCAGAACCTTACTCATGGTCCGTGCCTTATGTGTACTGCATACCTTCTCCTACACCATACCCTATTCACACTCCATACTTTACTTTTCTTCACTTTTGACAATTATCCCACCCCCACCCTTATTACTTTTCTTTCAGTTATTCCTAGGATATCATTACTGACCAACTTAGAATTATATAGTGGCCATGCAAAAGGAATGAGGTATGAAACTCTTTACTATTTTATTGTACCAACATCAAGGATGCTCAAGCCAACTGGTCTACCTGGATCAGTATTGTCACCATCGTCTTTTTTAAGAGATCCAATGGGAAAGTATGAACAATGAGCTGAGAGTGTCTTCTATATACACATTTTTTGTTTGTCATAAAGTAGGGGAAAACCATGTGTAGTTTTCTGTTTTTAGAATGCCCACGTCACACAAACACCCGATTTCATATGATTGAAAGTTTCTCTCGGAGCCATCATGAAATACTTCTCTTTAACTTCAGAAAGAATGGCACCCAAATCATTTGGGATGGATTATCTAACTTACTCTAAGTATTTCCTGGAGAAAAACAAAATAACAACAACGAAACCATATCTATATATCTAGTCTAAATCTTTTATCTGCAAATTAACTTTATATTCTTTTCTTTTAGTAGACCCTCCTCAGTGGAAAAAAAGTTACAATTTTTTACCATAAAAAGTGAATTTATATACTCAGAGACAATTATTTAAGGGTCCTGCAGATCCTTCGACATTCGATTATAGATTATAGTAGTTTAAAAAAAAATATGTTCTTAATGGTTTTGAAAAAGTGAATTTATATACTCAGAGACAATTATTTAAGGGTCCTGCAGATCCTTCGACATTCAATTATAGATCGAATGGAATATAAAAAATTAAAAAAAATATGTTCTTAATGGTTTTAAAGGTAAAATCTCAAAATTAATGATGTAACAGTTTGCTAGTATATATAGCTAGAGGTGAGTGGAATCGTTGTGGGGATGATTTCAGCTGCACAGGTATTTTAGAGACCCCATACCCTGCAGAAACCCATTTGGATAGCATTCCCCGATAGTTGTGCAAATGATTTCAATCGTATATATAGCTAGAGGTGAGTGGAATCGTTGTGGGGATGATTTCAGCTGCACAGGTATTTTTGAGACCTCATACCTTGCAGAAACCCATTTGGATAGCATTCCCCGATAGTTGTGCAAATGATTTCAATCTTCTTTCAAGCTCAGCACCCCATCCTATTCTAAGTTCCCTTAGCCAGTCCATTAAACAATACCAGCTTGATCAAGGAGCCTGTCAATGGCATTTGTATATTTTATAATAGCTATTCCAAAGATATGATGAACCCTGCAGTGATGTACTGTACTTGGCAGCAACTGCTTCAGCTTTGGGGCACATATGCTTCAAATCTGAGAATATCATAGAGATATATATGGGAATCTTTGCAGAGATCTCTAAGACAAGCTGGTATTTAACGCAAAAGCAAACCCATTTGGAGCTAAAGCACTTTCCATTAAGCAGTTTGGCGGCTGTTCTATGAGGCAGACTCACTGTGCTCGACGGACACATTTCGATTAAATGCTGCTTTGTATTCTTACAAAGATGGGAACAATAAGGACGTTTGTCAAAGGAAAAACTGCAGCAAATGATTTCATGTTGAACATCTGTACTCTGCAGTTCATTGTTTGCACAAGTTTATTGACCATAATTTTGATGCATATAGGTTTTAGAGAGTATAAAGTGCATTTATCTTGGGTGCCTATCATTTATTTGAGTCTCGGCTTATTTATTTCCATTTTTTCTGGGCATTTTATTTATTTTGGGACTCTGATGAGATGAAGGAAAAGATGTTTCCCAAAAATAAAGTTTTAGTTAGCTCTGCAGAATTGATGAGGAAAGACAATATTTTCACAAAAAAAATTGAGCAATTGAATTGAAAAATGTAACATTAAGCATATTATATCTTTATGATACCTTTCAGCCTTGGAGATCTCAAACCAATTTATAAACTTTAAGACCATTCTTCTAACCTTTTGTCCACCATACCTATCATAGTGACATTTCCAGGATGAAGCATGGCAGCTGTTAATTAGCAAAGTAATTTAGGGGAGTGGAATCAAAAGACCATTAATGGTACTGTGAATGTGATCCTGAGTTAAGTTGCCTCCCTTCACTTTATAAATTTAGGAAAACCAAAGCTCAGACAATCCAAGTTGCTAAATTAGGGTAGCTTTATCAGTCATGATCTGCTAAATTGCTGTGGTCCTAATCAATTGGTCTAACTCTGCTACCACAATAAGCTACAGATCCCCAGAGTAGAAGGCAGGCATGCCATAGACACTGGTAGAAAATTCTAGACAATAGAATTTTTTTCCTGATGAACATTTAATAATAAAATAGTACTACTTCTGCTTACATCCCATTGGCTGCAACTTTCACACTTAGTTCTATAGAAGGCTGAGAATAAAGTCTTTATTTCAGTTGGCCATGTACCCAGTGAAAAAAGCGGGGAGAGTTTCCATTAAAAAAAAGTCAAAATGTAGTAGTGGTTGGGAATGCAAACTTCAAAATCAGGCAGATTTGGGCTGTAACCTCAGCAGCAAGTAATTTAACCTTTCATGAGCCTATTTGCTACTCTCTAGACTACAGATAATAGCATATTTTATGAGGTTGCTGTGTAGTTTATATACTCTGATGTGTATAAAGCACAGTGACGGGTATAGTAAGCTTTCATTATAAGTTAGCTAACATATTAGGTAAGATCTTTAATTAGGTAAGCTTTTATTAGGGAGGCTCTAAGTTTTAAAAAAATTGCCTTTATTGTCCTTTTGCCTGTTTTCAGAGAAGACTTGAAGGCGTTGCTCATAAACAGAGAGCTAACATCTACTTTTTGTTTTGTGTTTGTTTGTAGGACGCATCCAGGCAGAAACTCAAGATGGTTATGTGAGCTTCTCCAACTTGGCAGTCTTGATCTCTGGGTCAAACTGGCACTTTATTTTTACTGTCACTTCTCCTCCAGGTAATACCAGCAGAGTGGGCTTTTATTACGTGTCTTGTGCAAAAATAACCCCTTCTCCCTTATAATAAGAATAATTCCTATCTCAAATAAGAAGTCATCATAGTTTAGATGGAAAAAATTCACTTGGAGGCATCACTAAGGTGTGAGAATAAAGAGCACATGTAGAAATGAAGCCTCAGGAGACTCCTGGTGAGCATGAATCCAAATGTACCTTTTCCTCTAGATGCTAAAATGTACTTTGAAGGTTCTCGCTTGTTTCTTTTTCATTTCTATGACATTTGGTTGGGTATTAGTTAGAAAATTCTAATTTACAAGAAAGAGAGTCATGGGATATTGAGTGTTATGGAATCCTACCTTTGGGTCCTGCCCTCTCATGCCTCCTCCCCACAAATGGTGATGATACCCATTAGCATCCTGGTACTTTATGAGATGTGTGTAAGTTGCTTACATGACCTGAGAAAACATTTTTTAACTGTCCCTTCTGAAGTATTAAATGTGACTCTCATGAAAATATATAATGAGTACTTGTCAACAAGTTATGTAACTCCCTAATGAGGGAACCAGAAGGATGGCAAAACTGGTTTAAAGAGCATTTGAGGGATAGTGAGCATTTAGCCAGAAAAGAAATGCTGAAATAAGTTTGCTAAATTGGAAACAGAGTGGTAAAAGCATATCCTTCGAGGTTACATATCTAATGATATCATTTTCGTATAACTTCGTATAATGTATGCTATACGAAGTTATTACGCATCTCTAACACACAGATCTTGCCTGAGGGCCTCAAATTCTTCATGCATGGGGGTTTCCTCTCTGCACAAGAGGCCTCACGATCATCATAGCACTCTGGGATCCTTCTTCTGGTTACGGCTAGGATTGTGCATTTCCTTCTCACTTGAGGGAGTCCCAATCACTCATAATCACAGTTCAATTTTGGGGCTTCACCCTGAGGTTAAGAGATATTCATTTTATCTCAACCTGATATAATTAAGGATAGGATGGTCCAGTGGGACATCGTAAAATCATCTCCTATATTTGGATAGTGGGTTAGAGATTGTAACAGTCTGAAGAAGTGGATCTGTTAAATCCCTTTAATTCCTCTAACTAGCTTCAATGAGAAAATGAATAAAGTGTCCCAAGAATTTAAACCGATTAAAACTATTTTAAAGATAGGTTATGGAAAATATTCTCAGAAGGGAAAACGTTCACCCCCTTCCTCACAACTTCTATCCCAAAAAGCCCTCCTCAAACATCCTTACAGGGTCTAATATAAAGAAATACAGGTAATGGGGTTGTCTTGTCTGCTTGAATTCAGAATTTTTGAATAATTCTGACCAAGAGCTAGAACCTGAGCAAATCTCTGCACTAAACATCGTATTGCTGTTTTAGATTAGATATGCTTTCTAAATATTAGCTCACTTGTGGTTTGAAAATAATGTTTCCAAATATGCATGTGAAATAAACAGATATGTGTCGGTGTTGGTAAAAAGAAAAAAAGAAATAATAGTTATCTGTTTTAAGTACAATCATCTATTTTATTACCATCATATTTGCATATCATAATAGGGGGAATAGGTAGGGAATCACTTTAACTTTGGCAAATTCTTCTTTCCAGAAATATGTTTTTAAGCACTGGCTATTTACTTCCAAAGCCACTGATTTGCATTATTCTGATGGCATGTGTCCCATTCCCATTTGTTTTACAAATATTTGTTATATATATCTTATTTCATTTACTGGCTTGTAAATATCTTAAGAATGGGAATAGTCACTTACCCACTTAGAGAAGTAAACAATCACTGAGTAGTCATTGAAAAATGGATAAAATAAAGAATTTTGTTTTTACTTCTGTAAGTCCCAAGTAAAATCCATTCCCCTGTCTCTGTGCTTGATCGAACTTATTTGAGTGCTCATAAAAAGACACATAACAAATAAGCCAAATATGGCACAAGTATAAGATGTACATAGAGGAGTACTATTTCTAGCTAATTTTGTTATGGCAGTTTTGGGATTGGGTCAGCAAGAAGTTGGAAAATTGAATATCTGACTGTGACTTCCACTTAGATTGTTAGGTTCAGCCCAAGGAAAGCACGGTAAAGAAAAACATGCTGTATGGGATGATATATTTAAAATACTAAAAGACAAAGATAGCCAGCCAAGAATACTCTACCCT